CAGGAGTCGGGCGCGGCGGAGCTGCCCGCCGTCGAGGGGCTCCAGAATTGCGTGCCCCCTTGTCAGGGTCTTCACCGATTGCCAAGTGCCCGTGGACGGCTTCGACGCGGGCAAGGCATGGTGCCTCCAGTGGCAGTGGCCTTACAGGGAGTCCTGGGTGCGCCTATTGGCTGTGACCGAGGGCATCGGCATCGACAGCGTCATTATTCACAAGGCGAAGGCCCACGCGACGCTGGCGGACGCGCAGGTCGAGCGCATCGCCGCGTGGCCGCGGCGGGGCAACCACAGTGCCGACGCGCGCGCCATGCAGGGCGCGCAGCTGCACCCTTCGGACGAGGCCGTCCGCGCGCGCGCGCACAGCCTGTGCCATGATCGCCTAGTCAGGAAGGTCTTTCGCTGGCTTGGAGCGGCCATGCAGGAAGGCGACGCCGAGCTGACGGCGGAGGACGGCCACGACCGCCCAGGCATGGCAGCAGTGCGGTGCGGCGGACACGGATGCAAGCTGCGCTGGAGTAGCCACTGCAGCTTCCGCGATTGCCCGAGGAGGGAGGGCGTGCGGTCGGCGCGGCACGTGGCTGGAGGTCGGCAGAGACACGCCCCGGGCTTGCGAGAAGTGTGCTGGTCGCGGCGAGGCGATCTCTGGTTCGTGGACCTCGGGTGCAGAAGGCGCCTCGGGCTCCGTCGCAGCGGCTGCGGCGATCCCCGCCGCGAGCGCCATGCTCCTCTCCAGCCAGGCCAGTGGCCCGCACGGAGCTGCAGCAGATGATGGTGGGCGCCGTGACGACGGCGGCGGTGGCGCCTCGGCTGGCAGCGGCGGCGCGGCCGCGGCTTCGCGAGAACAGCTTGCTGCGCAGCCGCCGCCCCTGCCCCCGCCAGCTCTTCCACCGCGGCGGGGGCTCGACCCGCGCGACTCCCACGAGCTATGGCGCGCAGGCAGCCACCTCTTCTGCGTCAGGTGCGGCTACTGGACGCAGCGTGGCAGGATGGCAGGCCTGGCGAAGGAGTGCCCGAATGCCCCCAAGAACGACAGGCAGAAGGCGGTCTTCGGCCGTCTCAAGCGCGGGCAGCAGCCAGCGGGGCAGGGCAGCGCCGGAGACCCTGAGCTCTTGCGCCGCATGCGCAGGCGGATGGACGGCTAGCCAGCCTTGCCCATCTTGGGCCAGAACGAAGTGCGCATGTTCGCCCGCACACGGGATCGTGCCCGAGGCCGATGGCAATGCAACAAGTCCAAGCGTGAGGCCTGTGCCATCAGGATAGTTGCGCTGCTGTCGGCTAGGTCGCTTCGACGTTGCTCGCAGTTTGCTTCTCACGCGTGCGTTGCCTAGGCTCGGTGCGCGCGCGCAGTTGCTCGCAGCTTGCAGCGGAGGCTAATCCAGGTGTGTAGGTTCGCCCACGCGCGGGATCGGGTCCGATGCCAGCGGCGCCGCAACCAGTCCGGCAGAGGCCAGGGCCAAAGGACAGGATGCGATGCTGCGGGCCCCCTCTCTCCTGTCTAGCAGCATGGCTCCGGGCTCGGTGCTGCTTTCTACAGCAGTTTCGGCTGCCTCTTTCGCCTGGCACGCTTCAGCGGAGGCTGACCCAGGTGCGTAGGTTCGCCCGCGCGCGGGATCGGGCTCTGAACCCATTGGCAATGCAACATGTCCGAGTGTGAAGTCATAAGCCTAGGGTCGAGTTGCTTTGCTGATAGTCAATCGCCTGGTCTGCGTGCCTCTCTTGCTTTGCTCAGTTGTGGCGCGTTTGGTGCCTCCAGACTCTGTCGCATGAGCGGAAGCTGAACCAGGTGTGTAGGCTCGCTTGCACATGCGATCGGTGCAACTGTCCTACTGGGGCTTATGTTGGGAGGTGTTGCGATGCTGGTGGCGAGGTGTTGTCCTGCGGCCGTTGCGCCCGACGCGCGCATGCACTGCCTGGCTGAATCTGTCTGGCGCGAAGCGCCCTTTCATATCAGCAGCACGACCGTGCTCTGTGCTGCACCTCACTGGCAGCATTCGACTGTCCTTTTCACTGCCGCGATGCGCGCCTTCCGTGCAGCTATGCCCTGAGCGGTAGCTTCGGAGGCTGATCCAGGAGTGAAAAGTTCGCCCTCGCTCGGGATCGGGCTCCGCACCATTGGCAATGCAAACAGTCCGTTTCAGTGGGCAGGAGCCGAATTGACTGGTTGCTCTGCTGATGGGAGGTGCAGTGGAGCGCTAGCCTTCGCTTCGGCGTGCTAGCACGCCGCCCGTTCAATGTAGCTTTTGGCGCGCCGTGCGCGACAGCTGCCCGCGCGTCTGCCGACGTGGAGGGCGACCCGAGTGCGTAGGTTCGCCCGCGCTCCGTTCGAATTCCGCAGGCCGGAGGAGCAAACGCGTCAGTCGGGTGGCTTGGAGCTTTGGACCTGGTTGCTTCTCAGGTGCGGTGTGCAGCAATGCTGTGTGCCAGCCCGCTCGACCGCGCAGCGTGGCCTTTGCTAGCTGCCGTGCGGGCTGAGTCGCTCCGACTGCTGGGATCGGTCATCCGCAGTCTTCGGTCGAGGCGGCCGATTGCTCTCGGCACCGGGTCGAATCTGCGAGTGTGCGCCGAGGCGCACGTGACCGAGCGTTGCCGCCGCAGGGCCAAGGGGAAACGCGATCCGAGGGGCAGTACGAGCTCGGAGTTCCTGACCCGTTCAGACGCGGGGATCATCATCGCCATCATCGTCTTCACCACCATCATCATCATCATGATCACCACCGTCATTATCATCAACGTCACCATCGACCTCATCGCCCTCCCCAAGCCCTTTTATGATGCGACCTGCTGGGGAGCAGTCTACTATCCTCCCTGGACCCCGAATTATACTATTCCCCGCCTGTGAACATCAGGGACATAGAGTCACTTGCTTCATGTGATTTGTCTTGTCTCGTCCAGTCTTGTGATTGTTCGTCAATTGCTTGTGCGCGCTCAGCCAAGACATGATTTGACTCTTGAATTCGCGTTTTGTCATCGCCACCGGCAAGTCAGTTTCAAGCATACGCATGATCACCATATGTTTTTTTACGCGGACGTGTACATTCAGTGCGATGACTTTGTAAATCGAAGTCTTTAAATGAGTCGCGAGGAGACGGAGTAGGGAACACCTAACAGGCCCAGTCCCCCGTCGGGTTCGCTCACTCGTCAACGGCTATCGGACAGAGCTGTCAGGTTGTATGGTAGTCCATTGATGATGCACCTGTGCATGATGATATGTTTGCACCTCCTCGCGATGGGTCGCATATCGACTTGTGGCGTACGCACCGTTGCCGCACCATGCTCAATTGTATTTGCGGGCTCGTGTGGGAGGACGCGCGCGTTCAAGGTGGCGGCAATCATTGTTTTCGAGCAGATCGACAGACTGCGCCACAATAGTTGCCAAACCGTCTTCATGCGCGCGTCACGGATACCGCCATGACAGGGCACAGTCCTACAATGGCAAGGTGCTGCGAGGCATCTGTTTCCAATAATGACGCCCAATGGCAGCAAACATGGGCACACTTCAATCTCGCGGTGAGGAGTCGGGCGTTGGGTCAGTCAGGAATTGGTGGGTTTGAGTGAGCACGTGGATCCGGCAGCGCAGCAAACGAATCTAACGCCACCAATTCCATCCATTCCCCCGATTTCTGAGGCTTTGGAGTCGATGGAAGGAGGGGTGAGCATATTTCACCGTTGAATCAATCGACTCCAGTATTTTGTGTTGATTTGGTAAGATTGCCCCCTCCACCACAGAGTTCGTGGACATGGTGCGGATGGTAAGATTGCTCACTCCACAGAGCTTGGGGCGGGGTCCTTCAGGATTTGATGAAGTTCATGGAGTCGGTGAGTTTGGCTGCACAGTCGAATCTTGCAACGGCACCAGTTCCACGAATTCCTGAGATCGGTGGGAAGGCGACTGGTTTCGTCCGTGGCAGGATCTTCGCCCTGGAAGGAATGGTCCAGATAAATCGGTCTGGAAGAATTGGTCGGGAAGAATTCGACCCGTGGGTGATGGCTGCCAGGGGGGACTGGAGCAAGAGGAGGAGGGTGGATGGGGCGAAAGCGGAGGATTTTAGACTGTTCTGGAAGAGCTGGTTCGGAAGCACTGGTCCACGAAGAACACGGTCTGGAAGGAGTGGTTGCTAGCTGGGAGGTTTAGTACGAGGGGGAGGGTGGAAGGAGAGTGAGGTCGGAGGGGAGGAGCAGAGAAGTCCCAGCTGTGACGGCGGGCCGGAACTTTCGAGGCTGGGATTTGTTCATGCGCCCGAACGTGGCCAGGGCAGATGGGGTCGGAAGACCGCTCCGCACCGCCGATGCATCAGCGCTGCGGAGCGATCCAGAGCCCGATGTTCGCTGTCCCGACGTTGCCGACGCCTCGCCGATGCCTCGGCGGTGCGGTGCGATCTTCCGACTGCATCTGCTCTGGCTCCAGTTGGGTGAATTTGCCAGTGAGGCGGATTGTCTCCGTGCGCCGCTCGCCCGTGGCTCATCTGTGGAGCAGTCTGGGCTCTAAGCGCCGCCGCCGCGGTCGCTCAGCATCGTCAGGCCCATCCCCATCCCCATCGAGAGAGACTTTGCCCCGCTGTCCGACTTGCCCCGCAGGGGGGGGACCAGATGCCCTCTCCGTCGTATTTCGTGGCATTCGTCCCCGCCTCGATGAGGTAGGCTGGTGGCGCTGAGGAGCCCTGGCACACAGTGGATGTGGATATGTAACGATGTTGAGTCGTCGTCGTCCTCCTTCTCGACGTCGTCTCCCGCCTCCCTGTCTCGTCTTCTCGCCTTTGTATTTCTCCTCCCTCCTCCAACTCCTTCACCCCATCTACCTTCTGCATCCTCGTCCTCATTCCTCCTGTCACTCAACCCTCGTCTCCTCTTCTCCTCACCTTCCTGGTGATGCCGACTATACACCGCTGAGCCCAGGAGGGGCCTAGCCAGGATCATTGTAGTATAATTGGCGCCCTCCTATTCTCATCGGTGTCCTCCTCCGCCTTTCCTTCTCGCCCTCCGCTTCCCGCGCCCACCGCCCCAAGGGGCAGGCCGACAGTCTGGTCGGCGACTGGTCGGACAGCTCCGACCTGGAGCACGATGCCAGCCCCGTCCGCGCCTGCAGCAGGGAGCGCCGCCCCGCCGCAGCCCCCCTTGGCGGTGCTCGCAAGGGGGTGGCGAGAGGGGGGGCGACCTCGTCAGAAGGCGGGTTGGCGGGGTTCTTAGACGGTGAAGCGGGCTTCTTGGAAGCCCTCCAGGTTTCTGAGAAGCTTCCTTGTAAGCCCCTGGGCCCTTCGAAGCCCCTCGCCTTCTTCGCAGGCCGCCCCCCTCTAGCCACCCCCTTGTGCGCACCGCCAATCCCTCGATCCGCGAGCTGCCGCACGATCTCTGCTTCCTGCGAACGGGCAGCCTCGATCGTCGATCCGCGATCCTCGACTACAGGGCCCATTTAGATGCGACCGATTCGATTCGATACGGACTTCGCCAACCCGATCCGATTAAATCCCAGTGTTCCGTGGTGCAGATTCGATTTCAAGTCCGTAGGAAGGGGAGACACACGTGGATGAAGAGCGATGGGGAGGAGGGCAGGGGGAGACCAGGCCGCGAGGGGGAGAGGGGGAGATGATGACGGGAGGGACAGGGGACAGGGGGCGGGTGGGAAGGGACAGGGAGGGGGAGAGAGGGGGAGGGGAAGCAATGGGTCGGAGGACAGCGGGGGGAGGTGGGAGGGATGTGGGGATGGCTGGGGGGAGGGAAGGGAGCAGGGGCGGGAAGGTCGGCACAGTTGAAGGCGGGGCGTGCGGAAGGGTCAACGGGAGATGGCCGCCCAGGAGAACACCAGGAACTACAAGGAGGCCCAGCAGGCGGCCCGTGACAAGTTCACCTGGCTCGTGCACACAGCGCCTGTGGCCGCCTCGAGGCGCTTGCCCAGCCTGGACCCATACACTTCTGCGCGCGACAACCTGGGCAGCTCGAACGGTTCCACCCTGGTCGACCGGCGGCGCTACGCGACGGTCCAGGCTGGCTCTGATCATGGCTTCGGGGATTGCTGGCTGCACACCCAGGGACCCGGTTCTATGGGTCGGGCATTGTGGATTACCTTCGGTAGTTGTTGTTAAAGGGATTCGGGCCATGGGCACGCTTTCATTCGGCATTTTGCCGAGAGTGTCTTCGGGATGTGCATGTGTGTGTGCATGTGTGTGTACGATGCGTGGGCTATGGTGTGCGTGTGTAGACATACAATGGTTTTCAACTATGCGCCGATGTATGCAGATTCTATATGCACATACAGATATAGTGTAGACATGTATATGCATGTTTCCCAATCAGAGCTTGCCTCTGTAGGGGTCCGAGCGGATTCATATGATTAGGTGATGTTTGCCACCGATGTCCGCGGTCCGCCCGGGGTGCCCGTGTGCCTTATAGCCCTACAGCCCTATAGCCTTGTAGATTTATAGCCCTATACCCCTACGGCCCTGTAGCCTTATAGCCCTACAGCCCCATAGCCCTATAGCCCTATAGCCAAATAGCCCTATAGACCTACAGCCCCATATCCCTAAAGCCGAATAGCTCTATAGCCTTATAGCCGAATAGCCCTACCGCCCTATAGCTCTTTATATATGTATGTGTATATATATATATATACACCTATAGCCCTATAGCCCTATGGCCCCATAGCCAAATAGCCCTATAGCCCCATGGTCCTATAGCCCCATAACCCCATAGACTCATAGCCTTTGGGCCCTATAGCCCCAGAGCCCCGGGGCCCTATAGCCCTTTGGCTCCGTAGCCCCATAGCCCCATAGTTCTATAGCCTAATGGCCCTATACCTCTATAGTTCCATAGCCCTATAGCCCCATCGCGCTGTAGACCAATAGTCCCATACCCCCCAAATGACTTGGATTGAGGCTTCTCTCCGGTATCACATATAATACATATATATATATATATAAAAATATATTCACATGTATATATATATATATATACATGCATATCTCTGCCGGCGGAAGGGGATCGGGGCTGCCAGGCTGGTACCTGCGCCCCCCATGGCCGCCCCAGGGCTCCGGGAGCGCTCCTGTCCGGGCCAAGAGGAGGCCAAGACGTGCCCAGGGATGCGCAAGTGGCCCCCGAACCGGTCCTAGACAGCCTTGGGGCGCTCAAAGATCGCCCCTGGACGCTCAAGATGGCTCCCATTGAGCCCAAGAAGCCGCTACAACGCCCCAAGTTGCTTACCAAGAGAGCCCCAAGCGGCCAACATCATTGATTTTGCGTAGGAAAGCGTGCATTTTTAGCATCTACGTCTTTTCGGTCTTCACGGCGTACACGAGGGTACAAGAGGCCCCCACGACGGCCCCAAGACGGCCCAAGAGGCTCCCAACACGGCCCAAGAGGAGCCCAAGACAGCCCCAGAGGCGGCCAAGGCGTGCTCAAGAGGCGGCCAAGACGTGTCCACGGAGCCCCAAGAGGTTCCCAAATCGGTCCAAGACGGCCCCGGGGCTATCAAAGATCGCCCCTGGACGCCCAAGATGGCTCCCATTGAGCCCAAGAAGCCGCTACAACGCCCCAAGTTGCTTACCAAGAGAGCCCCAAGCGGCCAACATCATTGATTTCGCGTAGGAAAGCGTGCGTTTTTAGCATCTACGTCTTTTCGGTCTTCACGGCGTACACGAGGGTACAAGAGGCCCCCACGACGGCCCCAAGACGGCCCAAGAGGCTCCCAACACGGCCCAAGAGGAGCCCAAGACAGCCCCCGAGGCGGCCAAGGCGTGCTCAAGAGGCGGCCAAGACGTGTCCACGGAGCCCCAAGAGGTTCCCAAATCGGTCCAAGACGGCCCCGGGGCTATCAAAGATCGCCCCTGGACGCCCAAGATGGCTCCCATAGAGCCCACAAGGCCGCGACGACGCGCCAAGAAGCTTCCCAAGGGAGACCCAAGCGGCCACAATCATTGATTTTGCATGGGAAAACGCACATTTCTAGCATCCATTATTTTTCGGTCTTCACGGCGTGCACGACGGCACGCGAGGCCCCGAAGACGGCCCCAAGAGGCTACCAACACGGCCCAAGACAGCCCGAGGGGCGGCCAAGGCGTGGCCAGAGGGTCCCATGAGGCTCCCCAAACGTCCCATGGCCTGGCGATGGGTCCGCATAGAGCGGATGGGTTGTCGTCCCTGGGTCACCCCTCGGGGAGTGGCAGCGCGGCCCCGGTTGAAAAGCCGGGGTGGACGCGGCTGCGCTCCTGGGCCGCAGAGCCCCTCGAGGGAGGGCGCCCCTGCTCCCTCAGCTTGCGCGGGAGCGCTGCCCCCCCTCGTTGCGGGATTCTTCGATGGGGGTAAACAAAGGCAGCCCCTCCTCGGCCCGTCCGCGGGCAGGTGAGCCATGGCGGATACATGGGGTGCTTCCCCCCCTTCCCCTCCCTCCCCCTCGTCGCCGCGGCTGGATTCGCTTCGAAATTCTGGTTTTAGGGGGGGTTCTTACCCCTGGTAGGCGTCGGCGGCGAGGCCCAGCCACCAACCCGTTGGCCGTTGTTGGGCTCGGGGACGCCAGGCCCAGCCCGCACCCTCCCATGGGGGCTCTGGGGCGCAGGACCCCCTCGAGAGGCCTCAGAAACCCGAAGAGGGCGGCAAGACGGCTCCAAGAAGCGCCCAAGAGGCGGACCACGGACCGAAATTCAAGAGGCCACAGGAGGCCCCAAGAAGCGCCCAAGAGGCCCCCAGGAGGCCTTCACAGGCCCCCGCGAGCCCCCCAATGGCCCGCATGAGGCCCCATAGGGCCCCAAAGCGGTTCCCAGGACTTCGAAAAGACCTCCAAGAGGCCCCCGAAAGGCCAACCACGAGATCCCAACACACATACAAGAGGCCCCAGACAGACAACCGCACGACCCTTCGCAAACTTGTTCACCTCACATCACGGCCTCGAACGCTCCCCCAACGCCCCGATGCCCACATCCGTGGTCGATCTTACGGCCAAGGACCACTCAACCAGCGTGCTCCGGAAACGCTCTCCCGGAGCACGTTCCCGCAACTCCCCCGCGTCTGACTCCCCCCCATCCCCTTTCGACTTCTCCTCCTCCTCCTTCTCCTCATCCTCCGCCTTCTCCTGCCCGGACTTCCTCGGGTCCCGACCCGCGTCGCGAGAGCTTCCTGACGAGAGGTTCACCACCGCCTGCGGCCCCCAGGAGCTTTCGAAGGGCCTTGAAACCGATCAAAAGAACCCCCCCGCGGCCCGCCCCCCGCGCAGGGGCGGCGGCGACCTCGACGGCGACGCGGCGGCGCCGCCGTCGTCGTCGTCGCCCTTGCCGTCGTCAGCGCCGCCGCCTTCGTCGCCATCATCGTCGCCGCCGTCGTCGTCGTCGTCGCCTGCGCCGTCGTCGTACTCGTCGTCGCAGGCGCCAGTCGGGGACCGATCAATCGAGGATCGAGATTCGACGAGGTCTTTCGGTTTTCGGCCCCCGGGGGTCTTTCTGAGCGGGCTTTAGTCGATCAGAGAGCAGCGCGAACGCCAAGGGCGCTAAGCAACGCGAGCGCTAAGGACGAGCTCTGTTACGTTTGTTCGAGTCTTCCGTCGACTTTTTGCCGGATGCGTTTCGACGATGTTTGATTCGATGGGTCCTTGACCTCGGCAAGAACCAAAGCGCGCGCGAAGCGCGCGCGATGGTTATTGCGTGCGTGTACATATATATATATATATAGATATAGAATCTATAGAAGCGTTTTCCCTTTGCCGTCGGCCCCCATTGAGACTGCCTGCGCGGCCGCGTTTGCTCGGTGGGCCCGTGGGTTTCTCATTGGTCGGCTGGCTGACAATTCGACCGATCGGCACGTTGCTGATATCTGGCATTTGGTTCGCTCTGCGCGTTTGCTGGCTGGCTGGTCGCGCGCGTTTGTAACAACTAAAGAGGGGCGGTGGCCTTCGGGGTGCGTTTCCTTTTGTACTGTACAAGGGTCCGAGCTTTCGGGAACGCGCGCGCCCGGCTATTCACGGGGAGTCGTGGCCTTTCGCCCCGAACCGACCTCTCCAGAAACCCCGGGGGGCCGAAAAGCGCGATCATAACACATCTCCCAGTGGAGAATAGCATAGTTCTCCTGATCCGGAAAGGGGATGGCGCTTCTGGGCAGCCTCGGGGTGGGTTCGTGGCCTCGGGAACGCAGAGTTGCAATAGTTTGCAATGGGGTGTGGTTTCGCGGGCGCAAGTTGCTTGCATCTTATGCAAAAGAGTGTGGCCTCTGTAGCGGGGGCGCGGCGTAATGCAAAGGATTGCAGCTTGAGGAGCGCCAGCCTGGGGTAAGTTACGAAAGAGCGCGGTCTCGTGATCGCCAACGCGTTGTAGCGCACAAGAGGTTGTGGCTTCGAAAGTGCGAATATGTAGTAAGTTGCGACCGGGTTGTGGCATCCCGAGCGCGAACCTGGCGTATTTAAGGGTTTGTAGGCTGGGGAGCGCGAGCCTGGCGCACTTTGAAGGGATGCTGTCCTCGGGAGCGCCAGCGCGTTGTAATTTACAAGAATGGATTCGGGGACGCTAGTTTGGCTCAGCGTACCAAGGATTGTGGCCTCGAGCGCGCGAGCCCCGCGGAATGTACGAGGGTTTGACGTTTGCGAAGTCCCAGTCTTGAGTAATTTGCGATGGGTGGTAGCGTCGGGAACGCCAGCGCGTAGTGATTTCGAAATGATTGTGGCCTGGGGGGGCGCTGCTGTATTTTCCGTGTCCCACGGCGTCCCCTGGAGTTCAGATAACGCTATTTTGGGGCGGGTGTCGGATCGTTTTCGATTTCGTCGTGCGAGTTTCAATCATTGCAACGGTGAAACTAGGCATGCGTAGTTTGGAAGTGGAATTGGCGCAGGGAACAGGACAACGTAGGCCACGTAGCCTGTCGGCCTCCAATGGGGCAAGCGTGTAAATACATTATAGATATACAAGTAATTCGGGACCCGGTCCGGGGGCCGGGGGGCGAGCCTCGACCGCAAATGTTGGGCCCGGGTCCCGGGCCCACCGCTGGGAGGCTTAAAATCGCCCCAGGGAGCCCTCAGGCAGACATTAATCACGGCGGCCCCAAGACGGTCCCGAGACACCCCCAAGACGCCGTCCAGGGGTCTCTGGCGACGCAAGATGCGTTGTAAACTGCCCCGGAGGCCCCCAAGACGCCCCTAAGAGGTTTTTAAGATGCCGCCCAGGAGCGCCCCGAGAGGGCAACATGGTTTATTTTGATATGTTGTTTTCAATGTTGTTTTGCATTTTCGCTGTTTCGTGTTTCCGGCGCTAGAGCAACAGGTTTCCAAAACCGCCCCAAGACAGCCCAAGAGTCCCCCAAGAGAGCCCCAAGACGGCCCGAAGGAGCCCCGAGACGGCCCCAGAGCCGCCCAAGACGGCGCAAGAGGGTTCCAAGAAGGCCCAGACTCGACAGGGGCCCAAGAGAGGGAACGCGAACCGAAAAGTCAAGCTCTCCGCCCCAAGATGCCCCCAAGAGGCCCCAAGATGCCCCCCACGAGGCCCCCAAGAGGCCCCCAAGAGGCCCCAAGAGGCCCCCAAGAAACCCCAACGAGGCTCCAGGAGGCGGCACCCAAAAGGCTTCAACATTTTGTCTAAGAGACCCCCGAAGACATGCCAAAAAGGTCACATGACGACTTGAAGAAGCAGTCCAGGATGCTCCGAGGAGACCCCAATAAGTTTGCTAGAACTTGAGCGCGCGCGAAGCGCGCGCGATGGTTCTACTGTGTATATAGATGCACAAACATTTGTAGATGTCATCTACACACGTACACAAACATGTGTGTATATGATAGACGTATCACCACAAGCCCACCCATGTTGTGTTTCTGTTTTTTGTTTGCAGTTGGCCTCCTCGCCGACGCTGCGGGGTGCAGATCACACATAAGACCTGTCGGTACGGTGGCAAAGACCACGGGTGCATCCGGAGCGGGCACTTGCTGTAATGAATTGCGGGCACAAGCTAGTTGTTTGCCCTTCTGGAGGCGCGTACGGCGTGCGTGTGAAGATTCTCTTCAAGTGCCTCGGCCTCCGACCCTACGCTTCCCTTTCCTCTGGCATTGTGCAACTTAGTGCAATTCGGAAATAGCGACCCGCGCAGGATTGTAGCGAGGAGAGGCGGGTGATTAGGAGGAGGAGGAGGAGGACGACGACACGACGACGATGACAACAGCCACCTGAGCGTCAGCGTCAGGAAGAGGGTGAGGAGGTGGCGACATGTCCTGGAGTTCGGGGGGCCCGTGGGGGGGGGGGAGTGACCAGCGGCAGGAGGAGCCGCGCACAGGGGCCGATGCCCGAGTACGACCCGGAGGAGGGGAAGCCTTTCGACGACCCACACTCGCGAGGCCGAACGTTGTCATGTTGTTATTGCGGGAGGGAAGCGAGAATCAGGTCGGACGACATAGGGGGGGGGGGATGGGGGGGACTCGGTTACGAAATCTGCTGCGTGAAACTGATTTTGTCTCCGCCGACAGTCGCTCTTTCTCGATACATTGGCGCCTTTAGCGTCCGTGCCCCCCGCCTTTCGTAATAACCTCCCTGTGCGTCCGACCCGAGATGCGGAGGAGGGTGAGGGGGGGTGAGGGGAGGAACAGGAATGTCGCAACACTGACGCGCAGCCAAGTTTTTCCGTTAGCTCGGACACCAGTCTGGATGGCGATGGGTTGTTTTCTTGGGTTGTGTTGATCTGTGCCCTTGTTCTTTGGGGGACGAGGTCGGACCAGGAGGGACTGGGAAGGTTCGGGTTTTGATGGTGGATGTAGCAAGAGTGCGTGGAGGAACACGTGTATGAATCAAGTTGGCTAGCTCGAGCGAGTCAGTGGGACTCCGCCCATTTCCACCCTCCTTCGCACACGTGTATCCATGTCAATGATTGCTGGCACGACCGGATGTTCGGACCGGCGCACTTGCGCACCTGGCGAACCAAAGGCGTTCGCACACAGCCCCGCTTTCGACAATTAGGTGAGGAAAATAAATATGGGCCGAGCACAGACGTGAGCGGAACGCTGAGGCAATCCATGCGCGGCGCTTGGGCGAGATCGCGATAAAGCCATCTCGTGGCGAAGATAAATCATGAGCCTCGCCGAGGTGGGACCGCCACTTTCATGTGAACTCTGCGCGTCGTTTCGGGCGATTGCAGCATTTCGCCCGCTCGCTTGTGACCGAGCTTCGGCGTCCGAAGACTTGCCCAGCGAAACATATGCGCGTCGCCCACTTGGTAACACTTTCAGAGATTTGATGCACGGTGCATGGTTGAGAGCAACATTTCGCTCGCTCGAACGCAACCCCGCTCCTATATCCGAAGACTCGGTGGCGAAGAATATGCGCCGTGCCTGAGCGGGAACACTTCCAGGCGACATCTGCACGGCGATCGGGCGACGACATTTCGCCCGCTCGCGTGCGGCCCCGCTTCCAATGTCTGGGCGAACGAAAAATATACGCCATGCCCAAGGCGGAACACCACATTCAGGTTAACAATAGAACGGTGCTTGGGCGGAACCGACAGTTTGCTTGGTCGCGAGCGGTCCCAAGCGGGAACGCAATTGCAAGGACAAATTTGAGCGGCGATTTTGCGAGAGCGGCATTTCGTCATTCCGCGTTCGATGTGCGCCGCGTCTCGCTCTTGCCAAACATTTTGCGATGTCAGCGACGAAGCGTCCATGCTGAAATGGAAAGCGTTGACTGCGTGTTGCTGTTGATGGGCAGGATGGAATCCCCAGGATGTGATCTCCACCGGTTGGGTTGGCAGAAGCGATGGAGTACATATTAACATGGGACCATGATATGAGCATGAAACAAAATCAATTGAAGCTGAAACTTGCTTTCGTTTCACCCTAACGAGTGATACGCTGCTTGGACATGTAGAGCACGACGACTGCGACGCCCAAGACGATGCCGCCAAGCACACAGCATGGACACAACACTTGCCTTGTGTGCCGGCAGCAACAAGCAGCAGTGTATTCATGCTCCTCGATGGAGAACCGCAGAGAATTGAACTTATGTCACCATGAATCAAGTCTGAAACCTTGGCCGCACGCCTGATACGCACAGAAATGGCTGCAACGCCGCCACAGCGAGCATATGAGGACCCTGAAACATATCCTTTATGTAACGCTCAGGGGAGCGGTCAGTGCCGGGCACCCCTACCTTCTGGCTCTTCTCCTCCTGTTCTGACGCACCTCAGTAAAGATGTTCAGCATATTTCGTTTCCGATTCAAGATGTTCAGCAGATCCAATCGTATGGCGGTGGCACTTGTCTAGATGAGGCCTTAATTGAATTTGGCGATCTCAAGCTACGGAACCCCCGCGCCAGCAAACACACAGACCCTGCCATCAAGAAGTTGCTAATCAATGATGGACCCCAGCCTTTGAATTCGCCCCTCGATTACCACGTGGAGGTACCGGGCGCGCCCCTAGACTCGGTGGAAGCCAAACGGTTGCGAGGAGCCTCAAGCCGTTTACCAGAGAGAAGTTGGTGCAAGAGGGATGATAGGAGGAGGAGGTGGAGGAGGAGGAGCAACGTTATCAGGGGTGAAGCGCAGCCGGAAGAGGAGGAGGAAAGAGAGGCGGAGGAGGAATTGGAGGAGGAGGAGGAGACACAGGGGGATGAGGAGGAGCTGGATGAGGAGGAGGCGGGAGAGGATCAGGGAGAGCAGCGGCATGCTTGCGTGCGTGCCGCGAGTCGGGCTACCCAGGCCAGCCAGCTTTCCGTACAGCAGAGCAGCTTCAATGTTTGGATGCCCGCACTCACCTGCGGGGTTCGAAGTTGGGACCCTGAAGGATGGGGCCCTCTCTCAAAGGAAAGGGCTTCCAGGTTGAATTGCATTATTCAGGGCCCGCTAGGGCCTCTTGTCTCAGGGTTTTGAAATGTCGACGCCTACCGCCAGCCCTGGCCAGCCCCATTCTGGCCTCCAAGTCGGCGCAAGTACTCCCCAAGTCATCCGCAGGGTTCCCAGACGTACCCAACGCTACTAGGAGCATCTCAACGCAGTCCACGGGCGCCCGAGCAGCATTCCCAAGCTGCATTCAACGTACAAGCATATTTCCCCATATCCTAAGATGGGGTTCTTGTTATTACTTGGACGCCTCCTACTGCCTCTCCCTCCTCCTCTTTCCTCCTCCCCTCCTCCTCTTTCCTCATACTCAGACCTACTCATACTCAGCCTTACTCATACTCAGACTTACTCATACTCAGACCTACTCATACTCAGACTTACTCACACTCAGACATACTCATACACAGACTTACTCATACACAGACTTACACACACCCAGACGTACTCATACACAGACTTACTCATACCAGACTTACTCATACTCAGACTTACTCATACCCAGACGTACACATACACAGACTTGCTCATACACAGACCTACTCATACCCAGACGTACACATACACAGACTTACTCATACACAGACTTACTCATACTCAGGCATACTCATACTCAGACCTACTCATACTCAGACTTACTCAACACACATCAGATTTGGAGGATGTCTCAGGCGGGGCGCTGGTTTCAGCACCCCTAAGGGGAGCCGCCAGGGGTGGTTGCACGGGCTCGTTCGCGGCCATTTTGTGGGGATGTCTCAGGCGGTTTGCTTGTTTCTGGGCTCAACATCCTTCGCTTGGAGAGCAGATTGTGAGGATGTCTCAGGCGGGGCGCTGGTTTCAGCACCCCTAAGGGGAGCCGCCAGGGGTGGTTGCACGGGCTCGTTCGCGGCCATTTTATGGGGATGTCTCAGGCGGTTTGCCTGTTTCTGGGCTCAACATCCTTCGCTTGGAGAGCAGACTGTGAGGATGTCTCAGGCGGGGCGCTTGTACGTTGTTTAACGAGTTTGCATCGCACAGTTCCGTTTCATCCCTGCTCCATAGTCTTTCTGGCTCATGGACTTGGCCCTGCGCAGCTTGCAGGCCGTTGCTCCGTGGGCCCCCCTCCTTTCAGTTGCACGCTGTCCCGACTGCCATTGCGTCGCGGATTGCCTGGTCAGCAGCGATATCGTGCACTTGCTGGGACGCCAGCTGGAGCGCTGCGGGCCAGAGCAGCTCAATTGCCCTGCGTGCCCGAGCTGTCCGCTGCTGCAGTGCCCCGAGCCGTCGCTCTCGCTGGGCACCTTCATTGTGGGGCTGCTCGTTGGTGTGTTGTCGGCAGCGACCGCTGGATTTTTGTGGAAGAGGGCCGCACGCGCGCCGAGACTAGGATTGGATGGCGGCCCGCACCCCAGCAGAACGCACGCTGCGCTGCCTGCAGAGTCTGCAGGTGGGGTCGAGGGCCCTCGCCTACTACGACCCGCGCGATGACTACTGGCACGAGAGGATCATGCTGGCGCACATTCAGGACTTCCGCTTCGTGGTGCTCACCGCGGACTGGGACATCTATGATGAAGACATGTCCCAGGCGCTTCGCCTGCTGCCTCTGGGTCCACGGGGCGGCCTTCCCGTGCCGAGGCCACAGGGGCACATCCTGCGGGTGGACAACGCCCGCCTCAGCATTGAGCTGCAGCAGCTGTGCGACGAGGCGGCGCAGCTGGCCTTGGACATCCGCGAGGAGGAGGGCTTGCCGGCCCCAGCGGCGCCCCATGGGGTGCTTGCCGACGGCGAGGCGGGGGCGCTTGCCGAGGCGCCGGCTCCTGCGGCGCTGGCGGCTGCCGCGAGGCCCGCTGGGCCAGCGGTGGGTGGCGCGGCCGCTGCCGGCGCCCTGGCGGCGGCGCCGGCCGCGCCGCGCAGGGCACCCGCGGCCGGGGCTCTCCTCGCCCCAGCCCCGCCGCGGCCCGCAGCGCCGCCAGCAGACGCGGTCTGGCTCGCGGCGGAGACGCGTGGGGGCTTCACGGCCGGGGCCCCTATCCCGCCGGAGCTCCTCGGCGCGGATGGCCAGCCGCAGGTCGTTCTGGGCGACCGCGGGGTCGTGGTGCTGGCGTCAGGCGTCTCACTGGCGGTCGCAGTGGCGGACACCCTGGAGGCAGGGACGGCAGCGCTCTCCAGCAGTGGGGGAGACCTTCGCACGCTGCCGGTGCTCTACTCACCAGCTGGTGGCCGCTCCAGGTCCTTCCACGACGCCGTGGCCAAGATGTCCACCACGCCCTTCCCAGACTGGCGCATCAAGGGGCCGAGGACCGCTGCCTGGCTGCTTGAGAAGATCTCGGAGGCGGGCTACACGCCGCTGCAGAGGCATTTCTGGTGGCGGTCGATCCAGGGGCTCACAGCTTCCGACTCGGGCGTGGACGACCACCACTTCATCTCCGAGGTGCTGCAGGAGCTCACCACCTACGACCAGCTCAACGCTGGCGAGCTGGTGGTGGTGGAGATCCTCTGCCGCCGCTACCAGCTCTGGGAGGAGCTTTACGCCTCGAGTCTGCGCGAAGCCGAGGCTGGCCAGGACGCTGCACCCTGGCTCGATGAGCGATCCATCTTCCTCGGGCAGGACAGGAGCCGCGGCACAGCGCTTGTCTGCCCCGCCTTGGAGAGCTGGGTGGCGGAGAAGCTCCGAGAGGAAAGTGCCATCCTCAAGGGGCGCAGGAAGGGGCGAGAGGAAAGGCTGCTGGAGCGCGGCGTCGACGGCGGCGCGGCCTCTGGCGAACCATCGGCGGGTGCCAAGGCTAAGGCGCGCGGCCGCGGGCGCGGCCGTGGCGCCTGAGGCGCCCCCTCGCGCCGGGGATGCCCCCGGCCTCGGCGCGAGTTTGCAGGGGAGGCGAGGCGTGCTGAACGATGCCACCTCGCTGGGTTTTGGCGATGACAGTCTCACGCAAAGGGACGCGCTGCCCATCCCGCTCAGCTTCGAGGCGCTCCAGTGCTTGAAGGGGTTCTCGGCCCTCGACGGCGAGCTTTCGCTGGGGCAGCGGCGCAAGGCCGCGCGCTGCAGGCGCCAGGAGCGCTGGATGCTGGAAGGCGTCTCGGCGCTCAACGAGCTGGGCGGGGGTGGTCGGTTGGCTGACAGCGGCGGGCGGCTTAGCTTGGCGCAGCGCTCCGCGTTGCAGCATCTGGGTGAGGTCTACGCCGCGGTCCCGCCGAAGACTGAGGATTGCACCAGCCAGGAGGCGTTTCAGGCGCTTCTGGGGCTTCGACCTGGCTATGCTGATGAGCCAGCCATCGGGGCGAGAGCCGGCTACCAGCGCGGGAGGGTCTCCCTTCCTTCTGGCGGTGCAGGGCGTGTCGATCTTGTTCGACTACTTCCGCCGCACCTGCAGTCAGCGCTGGAGTCCGGGCACGGGTTATTGCGCTCGGAGCAGGAGGCTTCTGCTGCTCTGGAGGAGGCTGACGTCACGTGTTACGTCGACGGCAAGCTGGCCCAACGGGGCTTTGACTACGGACGGTTTCTGCTCGAGCTGTACGACGCAGGGATCGTTGAAGTTTTGGGCTATGAGTTAGATCGGAAGGAGGAGACTGGCGTCTTTTTTGTGCCTCGCAAAGATGACAAGCTGAGGCTTATCTTTGACACCAGGAGGGCGAACTGTCACTTCAGGACGCCCGATTACACGCACTTGGCCTCCGGCGACGCCCTCAGCAGCTTGGAGTGCACGCCCGGCGAGGAGGTGCACTTGGCGGCTGGGGATGTGGAGGTGTGCTTCTACCAGTACGTGCTGCCCACATGGGCCAGGAACTACTTCTGCCTGCCGAGCTTGGCGACTCGCATGCTGCCTGCCCGCCTGCGCGAGGCTCTGGGGCCTGAGCTTGCGGCGCGACCCAAGATAGCCTTCCGTGTGCGAGTTGTTCCCATGGGATGGAACTGGGCCGTCCACTTTGTGCAGTCTGCCCACCTGAACGTGTTGGCTTCGATCTCTCCGAACAACCAGTGGCTGGTGGACAAGCAGCCTGGGACGTGCCTCTCGGACAGCTCTGCTGCAGCCAAGGTCTTGTACATAGACAATTTTGCGGCCATTAGCACCAGTCGCGAGACAGCGTTGCAGGTTGTCAATGACATGCTGGGCTCGTTCACCAGTGAGGGCGTCAGGGCGTCGCTTGACTTGGACGTCGTCCTCCTCGGCTTCACGCTGGATTCCAAGGCCGCCAGGTGGCGCCCCGCACCCAAGAAGTTTTGGAGGGTGCATGGCTGCATCTCACACTTGCTGGAGCCAGGAAGGCGTATCACTGGGCGCCAGTTGGAGAGGCTTGTGGGCCACGTGGTCGCGCTGCTGCTGCTGCGGCGTGAGGCTCTCAGCCTCCTCAGCGCCGTCTACGTCTTCATCCGGTCGACCTACGACAGGGCGCAGCCGCTGTGGCCCAGTTGCCGACGTGAACTCAGGTGGGTGCTTGCGTTGTTGCCCACGGTGTTCGCCGACATGAAGAGGCCTTGGCACGCTGAGGTAGGTGCCTTTGACGCGTCGCCTTGGGGCGCGGGAGTCTGTGCTGCGCGCTGGCCTTTGAGCGCGGTGCAGGCCGCAGGCAGGCAGCCGGAGAGGCTGCGTTTCCGCGGGCCCCTCGCCTCATTGGTGGCTCCGCGGGGCGCTGCCCTGGCCGCTGACAGCATCGAGCTCTCTGACCCCGCCGCGCTCCTGCTCGGCCGCGCGGCGGGTTTCGCCGAGGTGAGCGCAGAGCTGCTGCGCGAGGCGACCTGGATCACGGCTGTTGCATGCAGATGGAGGCGTCAAAGTACTATCCACAGGCTGGAGAGCTCAGCAGGGCTTCTCTGGCTGCGGCGCGCCTCTCGCAATTCGAGATGCCACGGGCATCGCTTGCTGGGCCTGGGCGACAACATGTCGATGATTTGCGCCCATGAAAAGGGCCGTGCATCCGACTTTGGTCTCTTGTCCGGCTGCCGTTGTTCCTACGCCATATCGGTCGCCTGCAATCTCAAGGTCACGTTCAGATGGATCCCCTCAGAGCTAAACCCTGCGGATGGCCCGTCAAGACGGTTCCAGTCTGGTCCGGAGCCGTCTTGGCCCAAGCAGAGGGACCAGTTCAGGCGTCACGGCAGCTGTGGCCATGCAGGAGGTCCGCACGCTCCAGGCAGCGCCGCCGTTCGGCCAGCCAAGTCTGCCAGAGGTGGGAGGCGCTTCGCCGACCCGGAAGCGAGCCGTTGGTGGTGGCGAATCCGCAAGGATCAGAGCGCGGCTGCCGCCGCCTTCCGCCCAGGAGCGGGCCCGCTTGCTGCCCCGCCAGGGCTTTCTGGCAGCCAACAAGGTGCGGCCGTCCACTCAGGTGCTCTACCTGAAGGTGTTGCGGCTGCTGGCAGGCTGGCTCATGGTGGACGCTCTGCCCGACTGGCCTGTGGCGGCCTGGGACGCAGCGCTGGCCGACTTCCTGCTGTGGGCCTTCGACCAGGGAGTGGCGCGGGCGACGGCTGCAAGGCTTGGCGCCGCGGTGCTGTGGGGGCTCCCGCAGCTCCACGTGGCGCCCTTGCAGAGGTGCTTCCCGCAGCTCGCGCACTCGCTGGCGGGCTGGAAGCGCCTGCATCCACCAGGCTCTCGTCCGCCTCTTCCAGAGCTTGTGGTTCGCGCAGCGGCAGCTTGGCTTGGGCACCAGGGCGAGTTTGCGACCGCCTTGTGCGTCATGCTGATGTTCGAGGGCTACCTGAGACCCTCGGAGGCGCTGGCGCTGCGGGCCGCCCAGCTCACCGGCCCGTTCGGCTCGGCCACCAGCGCGGGCTCACACATGTCGGTGGTGGTGCATGCTGCAGAGTTGCAGCAACCGGGCAAGACAGGCGAGATGGACCATACCGTTGTGCTCGACCTCCCGCGCCAGCAGGCCCTGGCTTGGGCCTTGGCGCGCCTGCGCGACTCCCGCCTGGGCTCCTGGCACCCGCTGTGGGACTTCGACTACAACCTCCTCCAGCGGCGGTTTGGCCAGGCGCTCGCGGCTGTGGGAGCCAGCTGTTTAGCAGGCACGCTCTACAGCCTCAGGCACGGCGGCGCCAGCCACGACCGCCTGACGGCCAGCCGCACGCTAATGGAGGTGCAGCAACGAGGAAACTGGCGCGCCTTCAACAGCGTGCGGCGCTACGACAAGCACGGGCGAGTGGCGATCGAGTGGATGAAGATTCCCGCCCCCCAGCGCCAGGAGATCGAACGGTTGGCTGCTGGACTCGACGCCGCCTGCAAGCTGTACTCGCTTCAGCGGTGATGAGTAGCAAAGGTCATGATTCTCGCGTCTTCATTGAACTCTTTAGTGGCTCTGGCAACCTGGCGCGACACCTGCGACAGGCAGGGCATGCAGTCATTGAATGGGATGTCCTGCATGGGCAAGAGTTTGATCTTACCCGGCCTGCGCCGTGGGCTGTGCTTCGCGGCTGGATTGCCAGCGGCAAGGTCAAGGCTATTTTCATGGGCACGCCTTGCGAATCGTTTTCTCAAGCGCGACGAGGCGGCCCCACTTCTCGCATGCCTCGGCGCCTTCGTGACGGCTCTCACATCTTTGGCTTGCCAAATTTGGCTGCCCCCGATCAGGCCAAGCTGGAGCTTGGCAACCTGCTCGCCTCACGTGCCGGGCAGATCTGGCAGCTAGCTTCAAAGTTCAACATTCCTGTCGGCGAAGAAAATCCCTGCAGCAGTTGGCTTTGGCATTTTCCAGACAGAACTCGCCGCCATCACTCTCCTTTCTTTTTCGAAGCTATTGTTGACCAATGTGCGGCAGGTCGGCCCTTTCGAGCCCGCACTAAGTTCCAATTCTTGCATTGTCGTCCCTCCCCTTCTTTCTTGTCTATGAAATGTCATGGCCGTGGTGTGTGTGTGTGTGAATTTTCTGGCCAGCCTCATCTTGAGCTGTCTGGAAAGGAAGGCGGTGCTACTCACTTCCGCACTCACCAGAAGGCCGTCTATCCCGACGCCATCTGCAGGCAGCTTGCTCGAATGTTCTCGCAGACAATTGTCGCCAGGATGGTCTCCCGAACATGGATGTTGATTCACGGCTAAGCCAGTGCAATGCTTGCTAATGGGTACTGTGCTTTTTGTAGATGGGCCTTTGCCGCCTGCCAAAGCTGTCCTGTGCCAGGCTCCGTTCCTCAAGCAGATACTGGAAAAAAGATGATGCATGTACGTTGTTTAACGAGTTTGCATCGCACAGTTCCGTTTCATCCCTGCTCCATAGTCTTTCTGGCTCCCAATGCCAGCCCGTTGCCTCCAGAATTCTCTTTTGCCGCAGGCCTTTGCCGCCTGCCAAAGCTGTCCTGTGCCAGGCTCCGTTCCTCAGCACCCCTAAGGGGAGCCGCCAGGGGTGGTTGCACGGGCTCGTTCGCGGCCATTTTGTGGGGATGTCTCAGGCGGTTTGCCTGTTTCTGGGCTCAACATCCTTCGCTTGGAGAGCAGATTGTGAGGATGTCTCAGGCGGGGCGCTGGTTTCAGCACCCCTAAGGGGAGCCGCCAGGGGTGGTTGCACGGGCTCGTTCGCGGCCATTTTGTGGGGATGTCTCAGGCGGTTTGCTTGTTTCTGGGCTCAACATCCTTCGCTTGGAGAGCAGATTGTGAGGATGTCTCAGGCGGGGCGCTGGTTTCAGCACCCCTAAGGGGAGCCGCCAGGGGTGGTTGCACGGGCTCGTTCGCGGCCATTTTGTGGGGATGTCTCAGGCGGTTTGCTTGTTTCTGGGCCCAACATCCTTCGCTTGGAGAGCAGATTGTGAGGATGTCTCAGGCGGGGCGCTGGTTTCAGCACCCCTAAGGGGAGCCGCCAGGGGTGGTTGCACGGGCTCGTTCGCGGCCATTTTGTGGGGATGTCTCAGGCGTTTTTTTCGTTTTCATGCCCAGCATCGCCGGCGGGGCCGCGCCTCCAAAAGTGGTGAAACGCGCCCTGGGGAACCAGGGTTGAGGAGGAAGTGTGGCTAAACGCCTGTCTTACATATCCCACTGCCAACTATCCTAAAACATATGCGCATTTGGGAAGCTCCAAAGCTACCACGGGCTGACAAGGGGAAGGCCTGGCAGCTGAGGAGGGGGGATGAAGAGGAAGAGGCTCGCATTCAACCATACTCAAAGCTCACTCTGACTCATACGCAATCACTCGCATTAGGGGTCACTCGTCTTCGTCGGCCCTGTCGCCCACGTGGACGCGCTATTGTAGTCGACCGCTCATGAACAGACGCTCACCACGGCATGACATAAAACATGAGATGCACATATGGGGAGCTCCACGCAGTGAGTAATGATTTGCCATTTTTGTCACAACCATCCTGTGGTGTTTGGTCCTCGGTTTGAAGAGACGGCGCCCCATGTTCTCCTCCCGCTTCCTTCCTCCCCCTCCTCCCTCCTCCCATTCCTACCCGCCGTCTCGGCTCAGGCTTTTGGTGCTGCTACCAGCTAGCGGCGAGCCCAAGCAGGGACAGTTGCCATACGCTTCGGCCCGACACCCCACGCCAGCACATCATAGGTACAGCACTGGCCGACCGTGACACATACAGACGGCGACACCAGCAAGACCGTACGAGCCAGTTTGGCACAGGCGCAGGTGCAGCGCCAGAGCCCAGGCGAGATCATTGGTTTGAGTCTCGGCAGCAGCAGACCTCTTGCAGAGGCGTCGCAGCACAGCCCGCCATCACAATCACTCGTCGCACAGGTCTTCAGGGTGGTCCAGCAGATCAGAATGTTGGGAGTGCTCGATTTGTAGCAGGCCAAACCCGCCAACATCAGCATCTTGCATATTCCGTGAGGTATCGCCCATTCAGCAGCAGACGAAAACGGATATTGAGGAGGAATACGTATCACTTGAGAACCCACGGCCATGGACAGAAGTGTCACGCCCGAGGCAATGGCACATGCCCAACCAGCAGCAGGGGCAAAAGCAAGAATGGTATCTGTCATCGAAGAACCCACGTGCTAGATCCCACGCGCCAGCTTGGAAGAAACATAATGACAATACATAACCACCCCTTCCGAGTCTCATAGGTTGTGGGTCCCGCTGCCGAAGAACACATCATACTTACACATGCACTGGTTTCATTTGGACAAGCAGTTGGTCGGTGACAAGAGAGCCAGACTCGCATAATCGGAGACGGATGGTGCTGTCACCATGTGCCGGTTCATGTTTACAAGACCGCCAAGTGAAAAGGGTTGCCTATCAAATCCGGTACGTTTACACTATCATATAACAGAAAAAGGGCTCAACGTGTTGGTCAATATTGAGGAAATGCCACAACATATCATCACTGCCAAACGCAGACAACCCAGGTTCGCCAACATCTAAAACAAAAAATGGTTTTACAGAGCCATGTCAAAGTTTTGGCAGCAAGCGAGCAGGTCAAATGACAGCAGGCCAATGACGTTTAAGATGTGGATGATGACATGTCGGACGAGCCGCAGGTTTGCTCAGCCAAGAAGAGAGCAGCAGACCCCAGCCCCCCCGCATCAACGGCTCGGCCCATGCGCCCAGCCAGTGCAGCGGACACCACGCAGAGAGCCACGTTGCCAGCCGCGCTCGCCGCGATGCACGAGAACAACAATAACAAAAACATGGCCACCCAGTTCATGAAGCTGGCGGAGCAGATTGCTATCGCACAAATTACATTGGCGCGAGCTGGCCCCATGCAACCAACACAGCAGCAGCAGGCGCCCCCGCCAGCCCAACCACATCCAGCAGGACAGCCTTCAGCATCCGACCCAGCCACGGCTGCAGCGCCAGAAGAAGCCAGATATCAGCATGAGCTGCTACCGTTGCAGGGCGAGATGGCTCCGCCACCAGACGGGCAGGGGCAGCTGCCGGGCAGCGCCAGGAAGATCGCCAAGCCGCCCAAACCATGTCTCCAGAAGGTCCAGCAGGCCAGGCCCAAGGCAAAGGATAAGGACAATGAGGAGGCCAAGACCCGCTGCATGGAAGCATTCGGGGGAGGAGCGCCAAGCAGCGTGGGCACGATGGCGAGGACCTGCCCTCCCCCAGCTCCGACGACGGACCACCGCGCGCAGAGGAGCAAGAACAGCCAGTTTTTCGCTGGCGAATTCGAGACCTACGGCGCCTGCTTGAAGGTCCCCAGCGGGCTCGCATGCCCCAGGCGCGGCCGCGGGGGGTCGCGCGCGCCGTCCAGCTCCAGAAGCCGACTCCGCGTTTCACATCCTTAGTGCGCCATGGCCTGAATGTCTTGATGATATCTTGTCATGGGGCCCTTGTTGGCACTCATCGACGACTCGGGGTCTAACTGAGTTGGCAGCGGGAGTCGGCCCGGAAAGACCGACGAATATCGACGTCTACAGAAATGGATCAGCAGGCGGATCCAGCCATGCACGCCCTCCGCGTCATTGCCAGCGGCGATGAACACACGCGGCGTGAAGTTTTCCAAGCAGGGGCCATGCCGGGCATCAGGGGCATCATCTCCCCCTCCTCCTTCTCCGCCTACGCCGAGTTAGAAGCGGCAGTTTGGGCTGCCAGAAGTTTGGTTGCAGAGCCTATTTTGCAGGTCGACAATGCAGACGCGTCTCGGGCTGCACAACTGGGGGGCGCAGCAGGGGCCCTCAGGGGGCCCGGGGCCATCTTGGACGCGCCACTGCAGATCCTGTCCGCACGTGGCGCACGTTTGCATGGGCACGCGTGCCAGGTTACAGCAACCCGCCCATGGAAAGAGCTGGCAGTCGCGACAGCACGCCTTCCTTCGCACGGGGTGCGCGCGGGCGCACCGGAGCAGGCATGGCGCGCAGCATTGGAATTGCCGTGGCGCGCTTCTGCACTACAGTGGGACATGGGCGGCTACGATTCCCAGCGCGGCTCGCGCCGCCTTGCCTCCACCGCCCGGGGCCCCCGTGCCAGGGCAACTACCCGCGAGGGTGAAGCTGGAACAATTGTTTCCCAGAGGCTCCACCAGCCCCGTTGACGAGACCCGCGAAGGTTTGACATTTGGGTTGCGTCGGCCAGAGCGCTCGCCATGGACGCCCTGGCCCCACGGGCCGCAGGCATTTCAGAGCGCTCAGACATGGGGCCGCCAGCGGGGCGATTCAAACAGCTGGGCGCGCAGTTTGACCGCTGCAGGTGCCCACTTGCAGGGGCCGCAGAGACTAGGCTACAGACGGTCAAGTCAGCGACGGCGGGCAAGTATCATGGCCGGCTATCAGCCGCCATCTCCGCGAGGGCACGACGGCTGCGCGTCGTGGATCAACGCGGCCATTGCATATGCAGAGGGCTGCGACATCAAGCCGTCAGTGAGCGCGACT